CCGCCCTTCATCCTACTTTCAAATCTGTTGGTTCTCAATCTGTTGGTTTTAATGATCTCTTTGCACAAAAAGGCCTTTCATTAACGATCATGTGTATGCTATCATCATATAACCCCGGTGCTTTTAACCACATTTTGGCAGAATTAGAAGGTGTCTAGTTCTACGGAAATGGGCTGCAGGATTAAACAAGATCTACTTCAATCTGTCTCTGACTGAAAGGTTACTAAAGAACAAGCTCATGTACTCTTTATTTAAAGGATTACATTTGCAAAACCACATATACTGTAGCAGTCCCAAAAACTATTAGGACAGTTCTGTCATTCTTAAAAAATGTCCACATGACACACATAATTGTGAAATATTATTGCATTTTAAAATAGCTGTTTTCTATGTGAATAGCTTTTAAAATGTAATTTATTTCTGTGATGCATAGCTGTATTTTCAGCATCATTACTCCAGTCTTCAGTGTCACATGATCTTCAGAAATCAGTATAATATGCTGATTTGCTGCTCAAGAAACATTTCTTATCAATGTTGAAAAATTTTTTTTGCTGCTGAATTTTTTTTAAACCTGCAATGCTTTTTTCAGGATTCTTTGATGAATAAAAAATATAATAAAAATAAGCATGTGTGATATAAAGTTTTTTTTATTCCATGGCAGAAACGGTCTTCCATAATTGTCGCATAAGTCTATCCACCTTATTTTTTTTAACGAAGGAGCGGCGTGGCCATTTGTTACTTGAATGTGCGAGTCTTCTGGTGTCATTCAACTTGACTTGCATTAGACAACAATATGAAAACGAACGATTAAATGAAATGCATACATTTTAAAATACACTAATATTTGGTGCAGTTATTGTTAGGGTTCATGTAATAATTTTATCCTATAGGCTGCAGGAACTTGCACAGGATGTCACTACAATGGCGTTGAAGTTTCTCTTGGTGTTCTGCAGCAATATTTCACTAAATGAATTCATTTGGGAATGCAAACAAGATTATCGGAGTGTAGCACCCTATACAACTTCCTGTTTACGGAGCACTGCAGGACAACAGCCTTGTGCAATGGGCTTCATGTAAACAGGATACCGTCCTTCCCTGCAAACAGCACTGTTATCCAATTATTACAGATGACTGTCATTGCTCTTCTGGACAGCTGCAGCTCTGCTTTTCTGTTGGGCTCTAATCATAAAAACCTCCAGGATAGTGTACTATCATGCATGCCTACTGTGCTGGAGCGAGGAGACACATAGATGTTGGAGAGTCCAATACACAGAACTTTAATGAACAGCTCACCAGGAAAGCACACGTAGCACTGGGGTAAGACAAACAATTCCTGACGAGGGAAATTCAGAAAAACAGGGTTTAAATAATCAGAAACAAGGAACTCAATGGGACACAGCTGGGATCAAATAAACCCAATCAGGGCAGGAACAGGAAAACCAAATAAGGACATGGAAACACATGGGGAGCAGAACACACACAAAACACGGAACAGAGTCTGACATGTACAGTCACCCTAAAATGCATTTAGACCAGGGCTGTCCAAACTCGGTCCTGGAGGGCCGGTGTCCTGCAGAGTTTAGCTCCAACTTGCCTCAACACATCTAACTGGAAGTTTCTATGCCTCGTAAGAGCTTGATTAGCTGGTTCAGGTGTGTTTAATTAGGGCTGGAGCTAAACTCTGCAGGACCGAGTTTGGACAGCTCTGATTTAGACACTTAAAAATGCCATTGCATTAGGCCAGTGGTTCCCAACCCTGGTCCTTGAGGCACCCCAACACTGCACATATTGCATGTCTCCTTTCTATGACGCACCAATTTCAGGTCTTGGCGTCTCTACTAATGAGCTGATGACCTGAATCAGGTGTGTTTGATTAAGGATACATGCAAAACGTGCAGTGTTGGGGTGCCTCAAGGACCAGGGTTGGGAACCACAGCATTAGGCCAGTGTTTCTCAACCCTCGTCCTGGGCGCCCCCCCAACACTGCACATTTTGTATGTCTCCCTTATCTGACACATCCATTTCAGGTCCTGGAGTTTCTTCTAATGAGCTCATGAGTTGAATCAGGTGTGTTTGATTAGGGAGACGCACAAAATGTGCAGTGCTGGGGGCGCCCAGGACCAGGGTTGAGAAACACTGCATTAGGCAGTGGCTGATAAACCAGGTGAAGATGTTAAGAAACCACAAACACAATTCAGAACATCAGTCAAAATCTGGGCAAACACCAACAAAAATCCAAATGAAATGTGTGCTTGTGATTTTGTGCTTTAAAACATATGCTGCCTGGTTTGATATTTTGCATCTGTCTAAGAAAATGAAATACATTTGGGTGACTATGCGTGAGAAAAAATGGATTTCGAGAAACTATGTTTCTGTTAGTCATTATCATGACCTAAACCCTGAAAAATAACGGCTTTGCTTTCTATGAAATGAGCAGGATCTGTTGTGGAAACAGTCACAAACACAAAGTGATTGTATATTGGCTTTCTTTGTTTCTTTGTCCTAAAATCCCTCAAAAGAGGTTAGTGAGTGCATCTGGCACGCTGTTCTGGCCGCGTGCCACAACTCACACAAATCTGTTGCAGCTGAGCTGTGAACTCAGATGGAGTCGCCCAGCGAGAAGCTCAGTGGAATGGAAGTGAATCACACCTGACACAACAGCTCTTAAAAAGACACCTTCACCTATATCTTGGGGAAACATCACACATGTTCACTTTACCAGACCAAACATGCTCCTGATGCATTTGTTTATACAGCCTGTCTCAATGCTTGAATCAAACTGAAATCTGTGATGATAAAGATATTGTATTTACAGTCTGCTACCCTGTTAGCTTTATATTAGGGGTATTAATTAGTGGTGTTATATATATATATATATATATATATATATATACATCTAGTCTTTGTGACTGTTTGCAAAAATTTAACTATTATCTATAAAAGCCTGTTTCCACCATGGAATATATATATATATATATATAAAAGTTTTTATCTCACAATTTTTGAAGTTTTCTCGCAATTCTAAGTTTACATCTCACAATTCTGTCCTTTTTCCTCGCAATTCTAAGGTATAAACTTGCAATTTTAAGAAAGGAAGTCAGAATCGCAAGGTATAAACTCACAATTGCAAAAAAAGTTGCAATTACCTTTAATGTTTTATTCTGTAGTCAGTATTAGATCTGCATTCTGTGACAGCCTACTTTATCAAGCTGCTGCTGTCTGTCATCATCTGTTAATCAAACAACAAAAGAAAAGAAGAGAATTATTCACTGCTCTTCACTGAATATTGTTCATAACTTTGTTATGAATCAATTTTTGTTTAATTTATATGGTGAAGTCTGCGCAGTGCTTTATTTTTACATTTGATTACTTGAATACATTTCTGTATAGTAGGCTGTTATAGGCTAAATTGTTTATATTATTTGTATTTTTTTCTGTTGTATTTGCCCTATTGTTTGTAATTTTTTTCCTTTTTTGTATTACTGACTTATTTTTTAACTCACTGTTGTTTGTTGACAGTGAAACTGCTCTGAAAGAATACGTTAAGGGGTTGGGGAGCATTTTGGGGCCCCAACAAAGCTTTGCTTGGGGCCCCCAGAAGTCTAGAATCAGCACTGTTCAAGTCTCATATGGCAAAAATAATATATATATTTTTTCCATATATGGAATTTGTTTCACGCAAATATGTCAACAGACAGACCTGGGTTGCCAGGTCTGCGAAACAAAACCAACCCAAATGATATTCAATATCAAAAAGGCCGCGAAATTTCTTTCAGTTTTAAAGGGATAGTTCACCCAAGAATGAAAATGTGATGTTTATCTGCTTACCCCC